AGAACATGTGCCCTATAAGAAATTTTGAAAACTGATTGAGAAATTTTTTAAATAGCAATTTTTAAAGATAGTAGTAGTAAAGAATATTAAATATTAAGAATTTAATCTAGGGCCACCTGCTGGTGGTGTGGTTAAGGTGTTGGACACTCTCACATGGCCAACCACAGTTTGAATCCTGGACCTGGTGGCTTGCTTTCTCACTTTCCCTCTCTCTCTCTGGTCAAATTAAAATAAATTAATGAATAAATTAAATAAAGAATTTAATCTAACATGGAGCATTAGAAGGTCATTCAAAAAATTGAACAACAGTTTGAAGATTATATCTTAGATCTAGCTGAGAAAAAGATTATTTAAAAAATACTGAGCTAGCTCTGCAGCAGGGTGGTAATGTGCTGCACAAGAGAAGCTGGATCCACCTTTTTTTTTGAGAGGTTTTTGCTATAGGGCGCGTGTGCTCGCCAGACAGAGAGAGACAGAGAGACAGAAAGCGAAAAATCACCCCCCAGAAGGGATGGTCATGCTGCAATCCCTTCTCCTCCATTCTCCTCTCGGGATCTTGGGCATGCATGTACACATGCCCGGCGTGAGTTCTAAGCCACCGGGTCTGGGATGCGAACCACGGTCGACTACGTGGGAATCCAGCGACATAGCCATTATGCTAACTGCTGGTTCCCATGGATCTACCTTGTGGTTTGAATCCCTGGCCCAGTTGGCCTGAAACACACTGTGCACTAGTGTAAAGGCCCAAGATCCAGTGGGATGGAGGACTTGAGGCAGAGGATCAAGGCATGATCAGACCCTGTAGAGGATGCTTCTCTCCCTTCTCTTTCTCGTGTGTGCACACGCTCTATCATCAGCAAAGAAAAAAATTTAGGACTGGCTTCATGGCACAGCGGTAATATGCTGCTCCAGAGAAGCTAGATTCCACATGGCAACCACAGCTCAAATCCCTAGCCCTGTTAGCCTAAAATATAACAGGTAAGAGTGCCCAAGATCTGATGGGCTGGAGGACTGAAAGAAGGGGATCGGAGTATAACCAGACCATGTGGAGGATGCTCTTAACTCCCTGTCTCTTTCATGCTCTCTCTCATGAGCACATGTGCTGTATCATGAGTATAGAAAAAATTTTGGAGGGCAGGCAGGTGGTGGTTAGGGGCTCTGGACTCCCAGATGGCCGACCATGGTTTGAGTCCCGATCCTGGTAGCTTACTTTCTCACTTTATTCTCTCCTTTCTCGCTCTGTCCATCTCTGGTCAAGCTAAATAAATAAATAAATAAAGATAAATAAAATAATTTTAAAAAGAAAAAATTTAAAATATATTAAAAAAATACTTTGCCAGTCATTACAAACACTTAAAATATTTAAACTTCAGTGTTATATTATTTGTCCTAGAAAAACAAGGCAGAAATACCATGCAATTTTTTTGGAGGGGGAGTAAGAGTTTATTAAAGGGAGGTTTCTAAATCTGCTAGACTTTGAAATGCGTTCTTATAATAAAGATCATTAAAACTAAGATGAAGGCCAGCAGGTGGCATAGCGGTATGTCACTTGACTGACTGCAGTTCTAGTCCCAGACTCAGTGGCTTGAAAATCACACTAGGCATGTGGCATGCATGCCTAAGGTCCCGGGAAGAAGGGATTGCAGCATGGCCATCCTCCTGGGGGGTGCGATTTCTCACTTTCCTTCTCATTGTCTGCCCCCACCCCACCCTTCTGTGAACACGCATGTCCTAAGGCAAAAACCTCTTTAAAAAAAATACTAAGATGAGATTTTGATGCAAAATCAAAATATAGAACAGTGAAATAAACCAGTGATTCCAAAATTAGATTTAATTTCTAGAAGCAAATTATATGACAACTGGGAGAACGAGGGGGAAACAGGGTTGATTTATACTAATCAGTCTAAATCTGTGCAGTGAAATACTCAGGTGAAATGGAACACAATAGTGAGGGATTGTGTTAATATAAATAAGTTTAATATTACAAAATTATAAAATTTAGGAAGGATAATACATAGGCCTTTTTAGAAGATGGATCAGTTAAAGAATTTATTTTATCATCATTTTAATTTTTATTATTTTTAATTTGACCAGAGAGAGAGAGAGGTTCTATGAGAAAGCAAGCCCATCATGTCCAGGACTCAAACTGTAGTAGACCATGTGGGAGTCCAGTGCTTTAATCGCCACACACCTGCTGGTCCCGAAGACAGATCAGTTTTAATTTAACTATGACACATACATAGGTGACTAATGAAGACAGTAATGAGGGTACAAAGTGATAACAGTCAAAAGTTCTTAGAGACCTACAAAGTTATTTCAACTAAGGGAATGAGGGGCAATTTCTTAGAGAATATAAAATGTAAACTGACTTTAAGGAGAGACTTTGGAGCCCTTGTTGAATGACTGTTGCAGAATTGGAAAGGAGTGAAGGTAATCTGGATAGGGAGAGTAATGTAACAGTGTGAGGTTGGTGGGAAAACTATCAATATAAAGCAGATTCTCAGAACAACAGGCAAGCTGGCTGGGTAAGTGAGAAGTGGGATGGATGCTTGGGCCGAGTATACCCTTCAGCATGTGGCTGGTAGAAAACTGCTAGAGGATTGAGGCAGCATAGCATGACCAGATCCACTTCTAAGATAATCGGTTTGACCATAGTATGTAAGATGAATTAGAAACTGAGAAAGGTTGGAAAAAGAAGTAAACGTCCAAGAGAGAGGTATTCAGGACCCAAGCCAGGGAAGGGTTGGTGGGAAAGACATTGTGAAGACTGATAGGCGTGGTTCGTTCAGTGACTGCCCTGACCTTGGGTGCCCCACCATCCTCTCAGATGAAGCTAGAACATCAAGCTGCTAGTGCTTAATTGACCCTTTGTGTGTGATGTTACTGGCTTGCATAGATGAGGCCTGTGAGAAACAGTCCTGTGGAATTTGTCCTAGGTCCTACTTGTGCCCTTCTGCAGTGACATCTTTGTAAGAACCTTTGTGAGAAATTCCTGATTTTGGTATCAGAATTTCACCTGAAGAATTAGTTCACTTTCATCCCTCACTATTTGCATCTTCACAATCACTGCTAGAAAGTTCAGTTAAAGACAAACCTATGGACTGATTCTTGACTAACTTAGATCTTCAAGAAATATGTTTTTATGTTATCATTCTGTCTCCATGATTTTTTTTTTTCTAGTTTACTGTGTGGAACTGTATTGATCTTTAATATTGGTTTCAAATATTCTTTGGAAGAAAGCGGGGAATAAATGTATGTTACACTGTAAAATTAATAAAACCAAATAAAAATGGAAAAGCCCAGTGTTATAGGGCCATAGAGTAATAAGCACGTATATGACTAATGATAGCGTACACTGGAGTTTCTAAGGAACTGTAAAATTGTTCCTACTTCTTAAACTGTTAATGCCACTTTTGCATATGTATTACAAAGAAATAATGCAGAAGAACGTAATCTCCACAAAATTGTATAGCTGTAATGCACAACAGTGAAAAAAGAGAAGCAGGCTAAATGCATAGTGGTAGAGGATTGTTGAATAAGTGGATTAATATGGTGGAATATTATAAAACCATCAAAAATGATTAAGTGAGGGACCAGCAGATGGCATAACGGTTACCTCTCTGGACTCCCATGTAGTCGACCATGGTTTAAGTCCTGGACCTGCTGGTTTGAAATTCATACTGAGCGGATGTGCACGCATGACCAAAGTCCCAAGAAGAAAATGGAGGAGAAGGGATTGCAGTGTGGCCATTCCCCCTTGAGGGGAGTGATTTCTCACTTTCTATCTCTGTCTCTTTGGCAAGCACATGCTTCCTATAGCAAAAAGCTCTCCAAAAAAATGATCAAGTGAATTATATAAATGGAAATGTAAATTATCAAAATATGCATTATGTTTACATAAAGATATGTATATATAGTAAAAAAAGAAGTAGGCAGTCATGAAATTTTGTAAATAATATATTTTTTTTAATTCACAGAAAGTTTAATCGGTTAAGTTAATGAAAAGATCAAAATCTTTGAATTAATGTATGGCAGCAGAAATTTATTTTTTGTTGCAAATAATATAGTTTTGGTGTCCCCATCCCTAATGAGCTATACTGCAGAAAGAGCAATCGCGTTGAATCTTAGCTCATCAGGGTCACGTTCCATAAACTTCTTGCAAACTTCTATGGCATCCTCTAGCAAAGTTTCATCACTAGTTTTCCCATGGTTAATTGGAAATGATTTCCGCCCATCTGATTCATAGAGATGCCCATCTCCATGAACTAATGCAATAAAATGAAGATCTACTTTTTCATCTATACTTGGTGCCTCAGTCTGACCTTCATGAGCACTGGTTTCATGGGTAACTCAAATTGCATCATAGTTCTCCAGGTATTTGTCTTGCTCTTCAGGGCTCATTGACACAGACTTTTTGAGGAATTTTTCAAGGTTAATCCAGATTCAAAGTGCATCTTATCTTTATGGTTTGCAATAGCATGGATCAGTCCGGTTGTTTTACAGGCATTGCTAATTGTTTGCTTCATGAAATTTACTGATGATGTAACACCCTGCCCCTGAGATTTTATTTTTTCCTCCTCTTCTGTTCTGAATATTTCATACTTTTCTGTAATAGGGAAGAGAAGTAACACTGCATAGACTGGTCTCGTTACCATGCTGAGGAGCTCAGGATCCATTCCATATACGTCAATGAACTGCCAGTTAGGGTGCAGACCTACTTGTTTGAGAAACTGGTTGGTGACCTCGGGATTGGCCTCTAGCGGCAGCCAGCACTGACCCTCCATGGCCCCTCTGCCCGGCCCTCTTCAGCTCTGACAGCCGCCGCTGTCTTGTAAATAACATTAATGACTAGGTTTTTCTCCCCTCTGGAACTAACATACTTTTTATTATTTTTAGGATTAGCACCGGTTCAAGGAGTGAGTTTTGAAAACTTCTTAAGATTAGAACAGTACTCTTGAACTTTCTTCAGCTAACAAGCTGCCTCTTTGTTCTTTTGTCAGGATTTAAGTATTGAAGAACAATCAGAGTGTACTCAAGATTTTTACCAGAATGTGGCTGAAAGAATGCAGACTCGTGGAAAAGGTAACACTTTGTAAGCCAGCCCTGGAGAGATTACTGGCAGTTGCTCAGGGGCCGACTGCTTAGTCCCTTAGCAATTTCCTTCTTTCTCTGATGGTTTGACTGGTTTACCTACTCTGTCCTATAAACTACTCCACTGGCATTCTGGGAGCTTGGCTTATAATTAGCAGTCAGTGCCTTTGAATACTACTGTGTATATTTTTCCAAGAGCAGTTGGATAATTTATTGAGTAATAAATAATGTATTGGGTTCAATAACTCCATTAGAGGGAGGGATGAAGTGAATTGAAACTTCTTGGGAAGGTTTCCCAAATGAATCCCCATCTTGGAATCACCGTCTTGGTGAGTCATTGTTCAGACTGATGTATTCCTCAAAGGAGTGAGGCAGTAAAAAATTGAGTATCACTGACTTGGAGCTTTAGGTTTTTAGGGATTCTTCTTTTTCTTTTTTCTTTTTTTTTTTTTTAAGATTTATTTATTTATTTAATTCCATATTTATTATTATTATCATTTTTTAATTTGACCAGACAGAGACAGAGAGAAAGGGAAAACGAGAGAACAAGCTGCCAGGTCTGGGACTCGAACTGTGGCCGGACATGTGGGAATCCAGGGCCTTTAACTACCATGCCACCTGTTGGCCCAGGGGTTTTTCTTGAATTTTACCTCCATTGTTGTTGGACTATAAGGATATATGAGGGGAGTTGAAAATGTTCATGGAAGGGGGCCAGCAGGTGCTGTAGTGATTAAGGCTCTGGATTCTACATGGCCTACTCTGTGGTTCAGTCCTTGACTTGACAGCTTGAGAAACACACACATATGTGCATGTGTGCCCAAAATCCCAAGAGGAGAATGGAAGAAGAGGGATTGGGGCATGGCCATCCCCGTGGGGATTTCTCACTTTCCCTCTCTTTCTTTCTCTGTCCGCCAGGGACAAGTTTATGCACCCTAAGGCAAAACTCTTTTGAGGAAGGGAGGGAGGGGGGAGAGAGAGATTGAGAGAGAAGGAGAAGAGAGAGGAAGGAAGGAAGGAAGAAAGAAAAAAGTTCATGGAAAACTGGAATTAAAGCATGAATCTATTTGGTGTAAAACAATTTTGAACTCCATGTAGTTTGTTTGATTTTTTTTTTTTTTTGAGAGGTTTTCACTATAGGGTGCGTGCGCTCGCCAGACAGACAGAGACAGACAGAGAGACAGAAAGCAGGAAATCACCCCCCAGGGGGGATGGCCACGCCGCAATCCCTTCTCCTCCATTCTCCTCTCGGGATCTTGGGCACGCACGCACACGTGCCTGGCGTGAGTTTAAGCCACCGGGTCCGGGACTCGAACCGCAGTCGACTACGTGGGAGTCAGCGACATAGCCATTATGCTAACTGCTGGTCCCACCATGTAGTTTTTTTCAGTTTCCCACAAATTTTTGAAGACCTGTGATAATTTAGCACATGTTCGTATTTGTGACATCTGTCCCATGTGCATACCTGAGAGCTCTAAGGTTTCGTGGTAAATCTCAGAGAAGTGAAAGGATAGATCTTACCAGAGGTCATCAATCTTGGCTTTTCAAGTACTTTTCTTTTTTTTTTTTTTTTTTTTTTGGAGAGATTTTTCACTGTAGGGCGCGTGCGCTCGCCAGACAGACAGAGACATAGAGACAGAAAGCGAGAAATCACCCCCCAGGGGGGATGGTCACGCCGCAATCCCTTCTCCTCCATTCTCCTCTCGGGATCTTGGGCACGCACCCCCACGCGCTCGGCGTGAGTTTTAAGCCACCGGGTCCGGGACACGAACCGCGGTCGACTACGTGGGAGTCCAGCGACATAGCCATTACGCTAACTGCTGGTTCCCCTTCAAGTACTTTTCTAATGTAGCAATTAGGAGTGATCCATGCTGATGTCTTCCCACTTGACAGGGCGTACCATTACCAAAACAGCTTAAACTAGAAGTGAGGATTTTTATAGGAAGCAGTCCCAAAAGTTGAGGTAGATTTTTAAAGGTTTTTTTTTAATGTGACTTTTGAATTTTGTTTCTGGGTTTGTTTAATGTATTTTTAGTAAATTTGTTTGTTTCAGTTTTTTTGCTAGAGGGTGGATGAGCTTGCTGGAGAGAGAGAGATAAATAGGAAAGTGAGAAATTACTCCCTGGGGTGTGGCCATGTCACCGTTCCTTCTTCTTTATTTTCCTCTTGTGATTTTGGGCACACATGCACCCAGTGTATTTTTCAAGCCGCAGAGTCTAGGACTCAAACCACACAGTTGGCCATGTGGGATCCAGTGGCTTAGCACTATGCCACCTTCTGGTCTGTTTTTTTTTTTTACTATGTAGGAATTACTTTTAAAATATACTCTTAATTTAAAATGTTCTTCTCTTGAGCTTTTATGTCTATTTGGATATTTCAGTGCCTCCAGAAAGAGTTGAGAAGATAATGGATCAGATTGAAAAGTACATAATGACTCGTCTCTATAAATACGTGTTCTGTCCAGAAACTACTGATGATGAGAAGAAAGATCTTGCCATTCAAAAGAGAATCAGGTAGTTGTTTTGTTGTGCCTTATATATTTAGTATCTACTAATGAAAGAAAAGACCCCTGAGTTTTAAAACGTTAGAGAAAGTAACAGCTGAAATACTTGCTCTCCTTAGCATGTAAGCTTCTCTGTGGTGTCAGAAAGAAAAGGAACACAATGATCTGTCTCGCTTATCTGTCTGACTACAGGAAGCTTTTGATATCTAAGATAGTTTCACATCTCCAGAATTCCCAAGGAGTGGGAGGACTTGTTTTCTTTTTTCGTTACGCCGTCTTGTCAAACAGAAAGCTATGACTGTCCATATCAAGGTAGTGGGTGTCATCATCCTTCATCATGCTAGGGTGTGATCTCTCTCTCTCTCTTCTTCCCATCATCTTTTCACTGGTGCTGGGTTGATAACACTTCTCAGAGCACCCCATCTTCCAGGACAGAGAGTGAGCACCCTGCTCTGCATTCTAATGGTAGTGGAGCACTTAGGAATAGTCCACCTCAGTGTGGGCAAAGGTCCAGGCTGAGCATGCTCAGGTATTTTTGGAGGGGAAACGGAGTCCAAGAGGGACCAGCAGATGGCTTAATGGTTATGTCGCTGGACTTCCACATGGCCAACCACAGTTTAAGTCCTAGACCCGGGGCTTCATACTCATGCTGGGCACACATGCATGCATACCCAAAATCCTGAGAAGAGATTGGAGGTGAAGGGATTGTGGTGTGGTCATCCCCCCGGTCCAGGAATCCCAAATGGGGTCCCGGATAGTAGTCAGTAGGTCTCTACTCAGGGGTGTCACAGCAGAATTGAGGAGCTGATACTGGGAAGATGAAGATGGAGCCCATAGGCAGGAAGGAGCCAGAAGTAACTAGCTGAGCCCTAGACCGGAGTGCAGAGCATTAACCAAGCGGGTGAGAAGGTCAGCAGCAGGGATTTTGGAATGTGCTTAGGGTGTGACTGGGAAACACACTGTGATTCAGGGGTCCTGTGTTTGGTGGCCTCTTCCCCAGGGCCCAGTGTGCTGCAGAAGTTGAAGGCAAAGTGTGAGAGGACACTAACAGCAGTGGACAGTGAGGACAGGGAGCAGCAGCTTCTTCTCAGTCTTCATTCTCAAATATTGAGTGAGTGCTTGGCACTTTTAGGAGAATAATCTCATTTCAGCCAGGAAAATTGTCTTCTGTTTTTCTTGTAAGTGCAGAAGAGAAGTCCATTTCAGGATTCTAGTTACTCTGTCATATCAGTTGGGCTGATATGTATGGGGACTGTATGCTTGAGCCTAGGGTTACCTGATTAGTCAGTAGCACCTCACGTTTCTGTTAACTGAAGGAAGTGGCAAAATAAATGACCACAGTCCATTCTTGAAACACTGCTTTACTTTCTTCTTCTCTTCGCAGAGCCCTGCACTGGGTTACACCTCAGATGCTTTGTGTCCCTGTTAATGAAGAAATTCCAGAAGTGTCTGATATGGTGGTAAAAGCAATTACAGGTCAGTGAAACTGCAGTGTTTATATTTGAATGTTTACCTCTTAAGGTTAATATTTTGCTGTGTATTAGTTCATACCATTTTTATTGAGCAAAAAGTCATTAAAGTATTTCTTTTAAAAAATTTATTATTTTTTATACGTTCAATTACTATACATCATTTAGCTTATAAAGAGAATTTATAACATGAAATTCACCTCAGACCAGTCCTGTTGAGAATACTATACACATGGGAACCAGCAGTTAGCGTAATGGCTATGTCCCACGTAATCGACCGTGGTTCGCATCCTGGACCCGGTGGCTTAAAACTCATGCTGGGCGCGTGTGCGTGCGTGTCCAAGATCCCGAGAGGAGAATGGAGGAGAAGGGATTGCGGCGTGACCATCCCCCCTGGGGGGTGATTTCTCGCTTTCTGTCTCTAAGTCTCTCTCTGTCTGTCTGGCAAGCGCACGCGCCCTAAAGCGAAAACCTCTCCAAAAAAAAAAAGAAAAAGAGAATACTATACACGTTATCATCAACAGGTAATAAACCATTTCTGTGTCCCACAAATGTCGTACTTCTCTATTTATCTCCCTAATTTCCTTCCCTACATTGTCTTCTCTCCCACCCTCTTACACTGTCTCCAGTGTCCATAACTATTTTCAATGTTTTTATGCTCTCCAATCTTTCAGTCTCTACCATAGAGTACAGACAGTATATGTTAAGTGGAGACATAAAGTTATTAAAATATTCCTGAAATGCAGACCACCCAAGATACATTGGGATGTAGTAAAAGTAATTTGCATGAGTGATAGAAATATGAATTTGAGGGGCCAGCAGATGCCATAATGCTTACATCACTGGACTCCCACATGTTTGACCATGGTTCAAGTCCTGGACCCAGTGTCTTAAAACTCATGCTAGGTGTGTGTGCATGTGTGCCCAAGAGGCCAAGAGGAGAATGGAGGAGAAGAGATTGTGGCATGGCCATCCCCCTTGGGGGGTAATTTCTTGCTCTCTCTCTCTCTGATGAGTGCACACACCTGATAGCAAAAATATCTCTTAAAAAAAAAATGTGAATTTGATGGATTCAGAATAGCAGGTGTATTCCTTTTCACCTTCATTTTCAATGATCAGAATCCCATTCCTTGGGCATTGAACTAACCAAATACAACTTAACAGCATATTTCTTAAGATTCAGTTGCATTTATATATTCTAAGTTTTGGATTGAGGAAGGGAATTGGTGAGGTAAGGGAATTCCAAAGCTGAGTAACGCAGTAAGTGATGTTTTTGATTTATTGTTAATGAGAGGTGTGCTTTGGATTATTTTTCTAGTTTGATTAGAAAGTAAATTAAAGCCCCAAACTGATTTGTCTGTGCCATACTGAACAGTTCCAGATTCCTAATAGTTGTTTCTGTATCTAATTCATAGGAATAACCCAGCAGAAGTATAACACAAAAAGTTTTTAAAGAAGACAAAACCCCACTCCTAATGGAAAGGACACCTGACCTTGGCCAGCTTCTCCTTAATTACAAAGAGCTGATGAGACTGGTTCATTTAGAGATAGTGAATGAAATTTGTTTGAGAAAGGAAGTGGGGCAGCTGATGTTAGCAGTGTTGGAAGCAGGCCATGAAGTAGGCTTCTTAGGTTATAAGAATCAGAAACTCACTCAGGGTTGAAAACAGTCCTTTTTTAAACTTAGCTCCAAGTCTCCCCTAGGGATTAGGTTGCCTTACTCCTCCTCTACAAGAACAGGAGGGTCTTTAAGTATTCTGCAGGTAATTGATTTTCCCACTTTCTCAGGTTCTGCTTCTCTTTGTCTAACTTTGCATTGCAATTCCTTCTATTAAGTAAGCGATTCTCTGTAATTTCCTGTGAAAGCTGTAGAGATAGTCTTACTGGCCTCGCTAAATACTGCTAGCTTTGTTGTTCCAAGCTTTCTGTGAGGCTATAGGTCCCATCAAACTGCATCCTTTGAATCCAGGCCCACCTCTACCCTACATGTTGTTCAGGGAACTTTGTAAGAGATTGAAAGTGGAGGCCTTCCAACAGCCTGTGTTTTTCTCAAAGACTCTTTTTAGAAAGTGTAAGAACAACTGGCTTATGTTTAGAGTATTCCACAGGAGTTATGTTGAGGACTTTTATTCTGAAAGCCATAGGTCAGACCTTACAAGTACAAGTAGCTAGCCCATTGTTTACTTAAAAATACAACTTTTTTAAAAGAGATTTTGCTGTCAGAGAAAGAGACAGAAAGTGAGAAATCACCCCCCAGGGTGGGGGGAAGGCCACACCACAATCCCTTCTCCTCCATTCTCCTCTCAGGATTTTGGTCACGTGTGCACATGTGCCTGGCATGAGTTTTAAGCTGCTGAGTCTGGGACTTGAACCATGGTCAACTGCGTGGGAGCTCAGTGACATAAATGCTTCACCATCTGCTGTTCCTTAGAACTTTTTTTGTTTTTAAAAGAGGTTTTCAATACATCAAGAGTCTGTTTGGCCAGCCCCATTACCTAGTCTATAAAGGGAGCCAGATCCCACATGGCTAATTATGATTCAGATCAAAGCTTGAAAACATGCCAGGTTGTATGTGCCCAAAAAAATCCTAACAGGATGGAAAAATGGAAAAAAGAGATTGTGGCATGACCACAATCCACTGAGAAGTGCTTTTCTCTTTCTTCTCTGTCTCTCTTCAGCTAGCATACATATTCTCTCAATTAAAACAAACACAGGACCAGCAGACAGCGTAATGGTTACATTGCTGGACTCCCATGTAGTCGACTGTGGTACGAGTCCCACACCCAGCAGCTTGAAACTCACGCTGGGTGTGTATGCATGTGTGCCCAAGATTCTGGGAGGAGTTTGGAGGAGAAGGGACTGTAGTGTGGTCATCCTCCCAGGAGACGATTTCTTGTTTTATGTCTCTCTGTTTCTCTGGTGAGTGCATGTGCCCTATAGTGCACATGTGCCTGGCATGAGTTTTAAGCTGCTGAGTCTGGGACTTGAACCATGGTCAACTGCGTGGGAGCTCAGTGACATAAATGCTTCACCATCTGCTGTTCCTTAGAACTTTTTTTGTTTTTAAAAGAGGTTTTCAATACATCAAGAGTCTGTTTGGCCAGCCCCATTACCTAGTCTATAAAGGGAGCCAGATCCCACATGGCTAATTATGATTCAGATCAAAGCTTGAAAACATGCCAGGTTGTATGTGCCCAAAAAAATCCTAACAGGATGGAAAAATGGAAAAAAGAGATTGTGGCATGACCACAATCCACTGAGAAGTGCTTTTCTCTTTCTTCTCTGTCTCTCTTCAGCTAGCATACATATTCTCTCAATTAAAACAAACACAGGACCAGCAGACAGCGTAATGGTTACATTGCTGGACTCCCATGTAGTCGACTGTGGTACGAGTCCCACACCCAGCAGCTTGAAACTCACGCTGGGTGTGTATGCATGTGTGCCCAAGATTCTGGGAGGAGTTTGGAGGAGAAGGGACTGTAGTGTGGTCATCCTCCCAGGAGACGATTTCTTGTTTTATGTCTCTCTGTTTCTCTGGTGAGTGCATGTGCCCTATAGCAAAAATCTCTAAAAAAAAAAACAGTCTGTTAATAGAATTTGAGAGGTGAAATTTTTCTCTCCAGGC